TAGGAGCGAAATGATCGCGTCGCGGTGAGAGGGGCGTCGCGCGCGAAGGAATGCAGCAGGATGCAGCAGTAGGTAAGAAATACAAGAACAAAAGTACTAATAGTAGAACTATGCATAAAATAATGATCGCATATCGATTGAGCTGTATGAAGAACGCTAGAGCTGTAATATAACGGCGAATGAGTGGTCCGCGACAGCCGCGTGCGGCGAATCGACTACTCAAAATCGTTCCTAACGCCCGTCTCCCATCTTCCTCGACACTAGACACATGCGCTTCTAGTTTTAGCTCTCAATATATACAGACCTGCCTTTTTTTAATCTCTTACGGTCTTTAGAAACCTATGTGACCTCTTCAAAGCCCCTAGAATCGAGTTCAGCTGTGACTGATAATTTTGATAAGATCCAAAAAAAGTAATTTAATGAATCGCTCTGAATTGCTATTGAGACTGGCTATACCGTTGTCGCTGCACGGGGTAAAATGTTGTCTCATCCCTTCAGCCATGTTTAGAAGGATAGCCGATTGAGAAGTATATTTTTGTTAGTTAGGGCAGGAGGTCGTTATTCGGTTGCCTCTACTGATTAGTTTTGTGACTTTATGGCCCTCTGCAGCTGGGTCTCAATCCCTTTTTCCTCACCAATTTTGCTCCACAGAATCCCACACGTTGACATTTCTCGGTTGTCTTGTTTGCCAGTTGATCTTTTTTCTCTGAGACGCCCAATCTGAGTTACCTTAATGCGAAGAACAAATGCTAAGCCTCTGAAGGAACCCACACTCAGATCAATCTTTCCCATGGGACAGAAAAACAACTCGATGACCCTATTTATGCAAATATTAGGCTAGGACGTTCCATACCTGGTTGAGCGGAGGTAGGGAAGTGTCAAGAGGCGCAAAACCATATGCATAGGCGAAGGTCTGAATCCCCGATCGTGACTCGTCTGAAGCAGCCAAACCTTATATTGATCGGAATCGGTCAGTTAGGGCTAGAGCACTGATTTGTACAACTTCTGAAGTCATTGTACAAGCCGCATACGCATTGAATAGCCTCTTCGATTCTGAACGGAGACTGAACGTGGAGTGCATAACACAAACGTGATTGATCAATGCTATGTAGGATCCCTCACCTTTTCAGCCCGATAAGCTAGTCTGTACTGACATGGATCATTTTCCCTAATCCTGCGGTATACAGAAACCATTACAGTAGAGGACTTCTTCCTGCTTCACTCTGAAGTTGACGGAATTTCAACAAAAGACGTTCCGTGAAATCTCACCATCATTCTCATTTACATCACTCCTGTCTTGAGATCTCAATCATGTCCATCTCACTTCCCTTCTACGGACGCTTTCGGAATCCTGTCAGATTTGGAAGACCAGTTCTTGTTCACGTGAGGCTTAGAACAGCCGTTCGCTAGAGCAAAGTCTTCAAAGCCTCCTCTAGCTGTGCTTTTGCTTGAACCTTATGATATTCTATTGCCTTTCCTTACATTTTTGTGCTTGTTGAAAACAAGCACTCCATCGATTCATTGAACCGAGGAAAACAAGTATTCCCACAAAACTTCAGGAGTTGCAGTCTAATGGTCAATTAGTGTATGCCAAGTTCTGAAACAAACAGAAACAAAAATAAAAAAATCAAAAAATTGATTAATCAAAGCCATATTATTACTTCTTTGTTTATTTTCATTTTTTATTACTTAATAAAACTTTTCGGGGGAGGAGGCGGTGTAGTGGCAAGTGGCGCACTATCACACACGTACGGTCCGGGATCGAATCCCGGATCGATGCCCGCCTAGGCCAACCAAGCTTTCTATCCCTTCGGTGTCGATCAATTGGTATCAGGCTTGTCTGGGAGGATAAAAGCACTGACTTGTACATCGGCTGGAAACCGCGAGTCATTGTTTAGGCCACATACGCATTCATTGCGCCACTACGATTCTGAATGGAAGTCGAGTGCGGGGGCGCATCCCTCAGACGGGATTGATTAACCCCAAAACTTTACCTTTTAACTTTATCCTTCAATAAAAATTTGCGTAGCTTTGTTTTGTTCTTCGCTCAAGAAAATGTCAACTTTTTGTTCAAAGCCGGAGCTACATACATATATTATGATGAAATCACATTCAAATGTAAAAGCTAGCTATTCCTACCTTAAAGCCCATCTTCTTCCGATTTGATTTTATTTTCTGATTCCCGATTTTAAGAATTGATAAATGAGAAAAAGACAGCAGTTTTATAGGTATAGGTTTATAGGAGAGAGAATTGTAGGTCTATGGGTAAAGGTGCTCCCGCCTCGGATAGCTTAGCCATATGATGGTGGTAGTGGGGAGAGGGGAGGCGGGGGGGGGGGGGAGAAGTGGAGGAAGGAGTGGGTTGGGTGTGGGGGTGAGAGAGGGCATATTCTTGAAAAGTTTGATCTAAATTGCCAAAAACAAAAATCAAAGACCTAAGTAGAAGAATATCGAAAAATTCGAGTCCTTTGGGGCTGTGTATTCTCACCCAGGGCAGGCCTCATTTCAGAATAACTGGCGTATTGAACAGTACGTAGAATCAATAATTTCGTTGCTGAAAAGATTGACGTGAGGGGGGTTTTTTGTGAAATCTCCGCCTTCCTTCGAGCTTCATTTGCCCTTTTGCTAGTCGTTTTCTGGGCTTTTGGCCAAATGGCTAATCGAAAGAACTGGAGCTAAGCTGCCATTGGAAAATGGAGATTTTGATGGTACGACATTGACTTCATTTCATTGACGTCCAAGCTTATGCATCTATGCTTCAGGGTAAGAAAAAGAAAAAGGGTTACCAGTAATGGAGGCTCTGTTGAGAGCATTGTTACAGCGGTGTGAATGGTTTATTAGCCTTGACAGTTTTTTTCCAAGGACCCATTGGAGGAGGTGGAGGGGGCGCACAACGGACAGAGTGCTTCCCAATTTTTCCCTCGAGAATTTGTAGGAACAGATAATAGCCCATTGCCCGACTGTACTACATCCTCAATTAAAAAAAGAAGAGCTGTGGGAAAAAGTATGAGAAAACCACCTATTTACCTTGAAAATAATATCTGAAATGTACCTTCATCGGGTCGGATCTTCTTCATCGAATACTTCAGTACTGAAAACAGTTTTGAAAATTTGAACAAAGATAGTCCTTTGTAAGATTTTCGCCAACGCAGATTTCCTTTTGCTTCATTTGGGCTATGAGGCCACGCCTCGGAAAGCTCCCTTCAAAGAGCTCCGCTCGATCAGCATTCATCATCTACACCTACCACAAACATTTTTCATTCCCCTTCCCGAGGATAACATTACATGTTCATAAATCATCTAGGGCGAATGCCCACCAAAAACTTCCCATCATTAGGCCCACTGTGTGAAAAACCCCCGCTCTACCTCTCTCATTTTTACATTTCATCGTTTTACCTGCCTAAATGATTTGACTTTTTGCAGTGGCGAAAGCGGCCGTGTTGTCGTCGGCTATGCTGACGAGGAAAAACTCGTCCGGACGAGCGGGTGTGTCATCATTTCCTGGACGAGAAAGTATCGCTGCCATTTCTGATATGCTAACTACACAACAAAAGAAAGCCATCAAACCTGGTTAGTGATTTATTGGACTACTTTTACGCTCAGTTAAAGTAACGCATTTGAAATTCAAGTCTTTCGCCTGTTCCGGTTCCCCTTTCATGTCTTGCCATTTTAAGGCTCGCAATATAGTCGAGGTCTCCCGGAGAGCTACACGTTGAAATTTTCAGTGCTACTCGTCCCATTTATATCCCTTACTTACAAGTTTTCTCTAAAAGTGGAGAGGCATTTGGATGTAAGCCTGGCCTAATAGGCCCAAATGATGTTCAACCAAGTTTTCAGTGTCCAGAATGTACCAACTCCAATTTACGCTGGCTCCGAAGGAAATTCCACTCGGGACCGGAATGAGTTTTCATTCTTTTACAACATATAGATATGTTGGACCAAATGACGAACCTTTTCTGGGTTTTCATCGATCTTTAATAATATTGCACTCAATTCTGCAAAAGTCGAACTTCACTGTAAATCAGCAAGTAGGCTAGGCTCATAGAAGGCTAAGCTTCCCAGGGTCTACCACTATCTTCCAATGGGGCCACTGAGTCAAAGTGCATCTTCATCCCTAGTGGGTGACAGGTGCGTAATTGGCCACATAATTTAATAAATAATATAGCCATTTTTGACAGATGCTAGCCTAGATACCAGGACTATTTCGATCCCAGCGTAAAGAAATATATAGAGGGTGTCCAACGGCTTTGACTGCTTGGGAATAGAAAAACTGAAAAAGTACACATCTCCTCATAATGTGTCACAGTGAGCCGTCGTCTCATCCCCCGCCCAAAAGCCCAAGAAAATGGGCACAGACATGGGAACGCATATGAAGATTTGAGTAAGAATGACTCCAAAACCCATTCCAAAATCGAAGTATGCAAGTGTTCCTTTCATACGGAGGTCTTTGGAAACTGTGGCAGTTTATTATGTGGATCCTATCAGGGACATTCATCGGGACCGATATTTGTCGCTTTTGAGGTAATACTGAAAGGATAAGTAACAGAGCGGACAAACGACAGATTTTCGGCATCATATTCTACCCACTGGAATTCAATTAAAAAGGTTTATCCATCCTTCACGAGCTGCTGAAGTGGCTCGAGGCGCAGTTGAGGTGCTAATGTCGCCCACTTCATAGACTCGCATCCAAAACGCTGAAGTTGCTTTGAAAATTAATAGCTCTATTCTCAAGTTATTTTTGGGGAAACGCGCTGGCCTATGAGTCCAACTCAGTCATCTGAAAATCTCAACCCTANGCCAATAAGTCCAATTTTTTATCATTCAATCATCTGGAAATTTCAACCCTGAAGTCCATATTCCTGCTTGTATATCCCGGGGTGCAAAAAATGACTATTGGGGAGAGGGTTGCCCAAATGACGCCCTTTTTGTACTTCTTACAAAGCAAGTTAGCATCTTTAGCACAGGAAGAAAAATAGCGGGGGAAGGTTGAAAAGGGCTTTTCAAACACATACAAACAAATTGGTTTTTTTCCGGAATGCTGTGGAGAATAATCAATTCCTTTACAGGCTACATGGCAAGTGAGCGGCTGGAATTAGCCCTAAAGATTGCCTGTACCATTTCGTTGATCACCGTCTGCCTTCACACACCGAAAACATTCGAACAATGGTGGCCGCTTACATACATCGTGCTCTGCCTCGATCTCGTATCCGTGCTAATACTCACCGCCGAGGTTGCACTCCGAATTCATCATGAAGGAATGAGCCTGGTAAGTGGGTACGCGAGGGTTTTGGGCGCGATGGCTGTGTCGTGAAATTCACGCCATTAGTGCTTGTAATTTGGCGAATTTCAAAAATGGCATCAAATCAAAGATGACATCAAATCCGCACAGCAAAGGGCGGATCACCTCGTGCCCTGCTAAGCAGCAATTTTGGGCATCTCCAGCTTTGGCGGCGAAACATCAATATGTCCAAAATCGCTGTAAATGCCCAGAATTAAGGCTTTTCAAGATGGAAAAAAGCCATCACTTTTCAGCCAAAAAGCCGAAACTGCGGTAAAAACCCCGCTTCTGTTTGGATACATCTGCGAATAATCTATTAGGGTTCCGAAAAAGTTCTGTGAGGAAAAGGCAAGGTTGTTGATCTCGCT